CGATGCTCACAAAGCCACCTTATCCTACCTATAACCAATTTGTTCTTGGCTTAAAAGCATATGAACAGCAGTTGTCTTCTCAGGAAGAAGAAGAAAAATCCAGCCAAATCAACCACAACCAAGCTTTCTACTCAAATCGTGGAGGAGGAAATAGAAGTGGAAATAGAGGTAAAGGAAGAAACTTTTCTTCCAAAGGCAGCGGTTTTCAACATGGCAGACCAAGCTCTTCTCCTCAACAAGCCAGACCAAGCTCCTCTCCTCAACAAGGTAATTCCAATTACACTCCACAGAATGATCCATCTAACAAGATCTCTAGAAATTTGTTCAATCAGGATCCAAACTTTAGTTGTCAGATCTGTGGAAAATCAAACCACACTGTCATCCAATGTTGGAAAAGGTTTGATCATTCTTACCAGCCTGAAGAAATTCCTGTTGCACTTGCTGCTATGAACTTAAACGAGGAGAATGATACAACCTTGTATGTTGATTCAGGAGCAACATCTCATATTGTTACTGATTCAGGTAATATTTCATCTCTTAAAACGTACAATGGATGTGAAAAACTTTTTGTAGGTAATGGACAAGGCTTGCATATATCACACACTGGAAACACAAAGTTAAATACAAAGAATGGTCAATTGAACCTTAGAAATGTGCTAGTAGTCCCAGATATGAAAAAGAACTTAATTTCTATAAGTAAACTTACTAAGGATAACAACTGCACAATTACTTTTTCTGCAAATGAGTTTACTGTGAAGAATCAACAGGGGAAACACTAGCTAAAGGGCATGAACAAGGAGGCTTATATGCTATTGGGAGTCAACAACAACTATTGCAAGCCTTATATGCTACAACTAGCTCTAACAAAGCAAATTTCTCAATTTGGCATAAACGATTGGGACACTTGAATGACAACTTTCTAAAGATTCGTAGTAATAAACTGCTTATTAATGTATCTGATTGGAAGAAAGAAAATGCTATTTGTGTTAATTGTCAACTTAGTAAGAGTTGCAAGCTTCCTTTCATCGATAAAGCATMTTTAAGTACTCATCCTTTAGATAAAATTCACTGTGATTTGTGGGGTCCTGCTCCTGTTTTATCTTGTCAGCAATTTAAATATTATATTGTGTTTGTGAATGATTACTCTAGGTATACTTGGTTATATCCATTGAAAAGAAAATCTGAGTTCTTTACTTGTTTTTTGAAATTTCAAAGGATGGTTGAGAACCAATTAGAAAGGAAAATAAAAAATCTCCAAAGCAATGGAGGAGGAGAATTCAAATCTCTTGCTCTACAAAAACACTTGGAAGAAAATGGAATTCACCATCAATTTAGCTGTCCTCACACTCCCCAACAAAATGGGGTGGCTGAGAGGAAGCATAGACATCTTATAGAAACAGGTTTGGCTATATTATTCCAATCGAATACTCCTCTAAAATATTGGGTAGATAGTTTTCTTACAAATCGACTGCCATCAAAATCTCTAAATATGAAATCTCTTTTTTTAAAACTGTTTCTCAAAGAGCCTAGCTATAAAAATCATAGAGTATTTGGGTGTAGATGTTTTCCATATCTAAGAGAYTATGCTAAAAATAAATTTTCTAAAAAAAACATATCCTTGCATTTTTATTGGATATAGTCCTTCACACAAAGGTTTTAGATGTCTTGATCCCAATACAAACCGCATTTACATGTCTGTCATATTTGATGAAGAATGTTTTCCCTTTAAAAATAAATGTGTTAACAAATCCGTGCAGCCTCTAGTTATGACTAATTTTTCAGGTTTGGAAGAATGGATGGTTCAAGGAAATGACTCCACCAAAGACATTACTTCAGACAACAACACCATTAGAAAAAAAATCAATGTTGAAGTGACTACACCAGCTAGATTTCAAGACATCATAGTGGACGAAATCAAGGAAAATAATAAAGTAGAATCTACTAAATCAACCACGGTACAAATGCAAAAAGAAGACATTTCATSAACTACACCATGTATGCAGGAAGGAGACCCTCAATTTGCTCCAATTTCTGCACCAAGTCAAACAGGAATACTGCCCKATCCAAGACAATGTGATGATAGTTCTTCATCAAAGGCTTTACAAGGAATGAACCAGGAAGTGGAAAACATCATTGGCAATTCTGAAATCGTGCCTTATACCAATGAGCTTCYTAATCCTTCACTTAGTCACTCATCTCATGAATTACCTAACATTAGCAATCAATTGGTTATTGACTTAACTCCTTTGTGTGCAGGACAAACAAAATCTCCATCTGTCAGTGACAACACTCAAAGAAGCCCATCTCACTCAATGATAAMAAGAAGAAAATTAGCCTTAAATCCAAATCTTGATCCCAAATTAACTAAAGAAGTTCAAGTTGTTAGAAAATACAAACAACARCCTCTCTCCCTTATGGCTCAATGCTCCACTTCAGAACCGAAAAACTATAAAATAGCCTTGACCGTTCCCCACTGGAAAACAGCTATGGAGGAAGAGATGACTGCCTTACAAGTTAACAAGACTTGGCAGCTTGTCCCAAGGCCGAATAACATCAATATTGTTGGCTCTAAGTGGATCTTCAAAACAAAACTAAAAGAGGATGGCACAATAGAACGACACAAAGCAAGATTAGTAGCTCAAGGCTACACCCAAATAGAGGGACTAGATTACGAAGAAACATACAGCCCCGTGGTTAAACCAACCACAATAAGGCTAGTTCTTACCTTAGCCGTAAATGCAGGGTGGATTCTAAAACAATTAGATGTGAAGAATGCTTTTTTACATGGAATTCTCAAAGAAGAAGTCTACATGGAGCAACCACCAGGTTTTTCTAGCCCTACTTTACCAAACCATGTGTGTAAACTTCAAAAATCACTCTATGGTCTTAAACAAGCACCTACAGCATGGTTTGATAGACTAGCATCCTTTTTACAACACATTGGTTTTTTTTGCTCAAAATCTAACCCATCCTTGTTTATTCTAAAACAAAACTCCACCCTTATAATTATGTTGATATATGTAGATGATATAATTATCACAGGGTCCAATCCAGAAAGCTTACAACAACTCATTGATAGATTGGCCTTAGAATTTTCTTTGAAAGGCTTAGGAATTCTTCACTTCTTTCTTGGTATTCAGGTTCATAAAACTGCAAATGGTATTGTCCTCTCTCAAGGTAAGTACACTCGTGAAGTACTTGCGAAGGCCCAAATGTTAGAAGCCTCACAGAACACTACTCCCATGCCTACTTTTGTTATAATCCAAGCAGATGATATGAATCTTGTGAATGCTAAAGAATACAGAAGTCTAGTTAGGTTATTACAATATCTTACTCTCACTCGACCAGACATAGTGCAGGCAGTGAATCGTGTGTGCCAGCATCTTCAACAACCAATACTCAAGAATCTTAAAGCAGTCAAGAGGATCCTATGATACCTGAAAGGCACCCTTAATTATGGTATCACTTTTTACAAAAATAGTACTCTAAATTTATATGCCTTTTGTGATGCAGATTGGGGAGGTTGTCCATTAACACGTCGAAGCACCACTGGATTTTGTGTCTTCATTGGATCAAATTGCATCTCATGGTCTTCCAAAAAGCAACCAACAGTCGCATGATAAAGCTCTGAAGCTGAGTATCAAGCAATGGCATCAACTACAGCTGAACTAACATGGATCACGTTTCTTCTTCGCGATATGAGCATACCACTTCACAAGGCACCTCAACTATTCTGTGACAACATAAGTGCACTCCATATGTCTATAAACCCTGTATTCCATGCTCGCACAAAACATATTGAGATGGATTATCACTTTGTGCGAGAGAAGGTAGCACTTGGATCTCTTATAACTACTTATGTGCCCTCACGCCAACAAATTGCAGATATCTTCACCAAGCCATTGGTAAAGAACACTTTCAAAGATCTCCGAAACAAACTAGGTGTTCGTTTATCACTGCCACCAGTTTGAGGAAGGATATTAAACCAAATACATTAGTATACTGCCAATATTCTCCTCAGAAAATTATCAGCAAATATATCGGCATTTGTGAGTCACAATCTCAGCAAATATCAGCAAGTTTCTTTGTAAATTTGTCCTCATTTATGTCGCTAAGTCTGCTGTAATTAAAGGCTGCTTATGGAATGATTCCTAATCAATCCTTTTGCTTAAATGCTTTTAATTACTTACCTAAATAGGTGACTAAATTGGGAAACAACATTCAAATCCTTTTACCGTTGGACCTTACCCCAAGCTGTCATATGACCTCAATATGCAGTAGCAGATTTATGGTCTTTCCTAGTTTATGTCTTCCCATTTTTTGTCCTTTGTGTCACAGCTATATGTATTGAGTTTAGCTAAAGGTTATGGATGAAGGCAATACAAAATCATTTTTTTTAACTTTTGAGCACCTTGATAAACTCTTTATTTAGTCCTGTCATTAAACCAGTTACCATACGTGTTCTTTTAACCCTAGCTTTAGCTAAGAATTTGATTGTTCGTCAACTTGATGTCAATAATGCATTCCTTCATGGTATCTTAATTGAGGAAGTTCTTATGGATCAACCGACTAGCTTTCATGTCTCATAATCTACTACTACTGTTCCTTTAGTTTGTAAATTGAAGTAGGCATTGTATGGTTTGAAACAAGCACCTCATGCTTGGTTTGATTGCTTGAAAGCCTTTCTTTTCTCTGCTGGTTTCATTAACTCTCGAGCTGACACCTCTCTTTTTATGCGTGTTACTCCTGCTTCCTGTTGTTATGTATTGATCTATGTAGATGACATCATTATTACGGGCTCCTCTTCTTCTGATATCAGCACATTGATTGATGACTTACATCTTACTTTAGCTCTTAAAGATTTGGGCACTTTGAGTTAATTTTTGGGTATTGAGGTCTCCTATCCTCAATYTGGTGGCATGTTTTWWTCACAKAAGAAGTACATTTCTGACYTACTTCGTAAATCACAAATGTCTGATGCAAACTMTATATCTACACCTATGGCCAGTGGTAGTATTTTGTCTGCCCGTGGTGGTGAACGGTTTCATGATCCTCATCTCTATAGGAGTATTGTGGGCTCTTTACAATATGCTACTGTCACTCATCAAGAGATCTCTTATTCAGTTAATAAAGTGTGTCAATTTATGCACACTCTCACTCTCTAGCATTGACAGGCAGTTAAACGTATATTGCGGTATTTGCATGGTACTTTGGAGCATGGTTGATATAGAAATGATTGACTCATGATTGGGTTGACTTTGAGCATGAGCTTCATTTGAGCTGATTTTAGCTTCCTCCTCTTGTAGGCTTTCCCCGTGCACTCCGTGATCACTCATTTCTATATCAATGGTGTTCTTCTCTCCAAATCATCTCAACTTCGGGTCCATGGCTTTGCTGATGCTGACTGGGCTTCAGACCCAGATGATAGGAAGTCCACCTCTGGTTATTGCATTTATTTTGGAGGAAATTTGGTTGCTTAGGGTTCAAAGAAGCAACAAATCATTTCTCGTTCCAGCACTGAAGCTGAATTCCGCTGCTTGGCTAATGCTGCAATGGAACTACTTTGGTTACAATCTCTTATCAGAGAACTTGCTGTTGATATTCCTCATCCTCCTATTTTGTGGTGTGACAATTTGGGCCCTGTTCACCTCAGTGCAAACCCCATATTACATTCTCGTACTAAACATGTTGAATTGGACATTTATTTTGTTCGTGATTTGGTTTTGCAAAAGAAATTGGTGGTTTTTCATCTTCCTTCTTCTTCTGCCAAGTCCTTTTGTGATTTACGTTCCAAGCTCAATGTTTATTCTTCCTCTGCCATTGGCTTGCGAAGAGGTATTAAGGAGGCACACTGAGATTTGTTTTAATTTAATTTCCATTAAGCAATATTGATTCATATATGTATTGAAACAACCTTTGAACGACTTTCTTTTGAGCATTGTAACAAACTTTGAAGGGTTAGTTGGGGAGTTTGTTGATTTGTTATGTATTTTTATCTTTTCACTACACCTTCTATAAAACGAGGTTTGTAGTTTTTTTGAGGAATATATGAAAAGATAGCCCATCTTTGTGATCTTTTCATTTTCACCATTAGAATTTCTTTCTTAAAATTTTGTTAGTGTAGCAAGCGTCTAAAACGATGACGTGATCTATGGTGGATGTGGATGTGGTGGTTAGTGCAGCGAAGGCGGCGACAGTGTTTTGTTGGTGAAGAAGATGGAGAGGGAAAGAAAAAAATGAGAGTAATAAAAGAATGAAAAAAAACACGCATGGGATGAGACAATAAAAAAATATAATAAAAATTGATGCATCATTTAAAATTCTGACTTCGCCAATCCCACGTCATATTTCATTAGTCAAATAACTGCCAACCTTAATCAATAAAAACCATTTGGAGTGTCAATTTTAACTTTAGTTATTAAGGGTCTGTTTGATAACGTTATGGTTTCTTACCATTTGTAACTAACTCTAGGATCGTTTGTTTCTGAAGAAAAATGTATTGCATGGTTCTAACCTCTAAGAATTCAAGTATGATAAAACGTTGTTTTCAAATTTTCAATACAAGTGTGAGAATGTTCCCAAAAAATGAAAAACAAGAAACAAAGTTAGTTGAAAAATACATAGATTTCTTAACAAAATTGGAAACGAAAAATAAGAAACGAGAATGTTACCAAACGAGCCCTATGTTTCTTGTTTCTCATGTTTTTTAAAACATTATCAAAATTGTATAGAGATTTTGGAAATGTTTCTTATTATTTCTTATTCTCTTTTTCAATTTGTTACAAAAATGGTTTAATCATAAAATTCATTTTTTTAATAAAAAATAAACTAAACATAAATATTACCCAATAAGCTTTACAAGTGAAGGCACTCCTAAAACTTTCGGGAAATTGACACCAATAATCTTCAAAAGTTTTTGGAATGCTCGAATGACTCACCCTTTTTAATTGTGCCCCTTTATTCAATTGAATTGAATGACCCACTTTAATATTTAATTGAATTAAAATTGGAAGGAAATTACACCGTTACCCCTTTATTCAAAAATCAAATCGTTCATCCCTTTGTCTTCTCCTTCAAATTTCTTCTCCGTTTCCCTTCGAGATAAGTTCGATTCTGTTAATTTTTGTTATTTTCCATTAATTTGAATGGTAGGGTTTTGATTTTCATTACTGTTGAGTAGTTGAATATTAGGTTTTTTCATTGATTCCATTTTCCGGTGTCTTTTTGATGAACGAAAACATGAATTACATTGCATCGATTTAGGTTTCGTTTCTCGTGTATTTCATTTTTCAAAAAATAGGAAGACTGTTTACTCTTTGTTTCGTTCATTGTTTTTGGTTCTTTAGTGTATTTTCTATGAAATTGAGTTATGTGGTCTCTGTGTGTGAGGTTTGTTTGAGAAATATTTGTGGTGGAGGTTGAAGAAGAAGGGTCAACTCAGGCGAAGTAGGATGGATCTCGTGCGAGGTTGAAGAAATTCCAAACCTGGCTCGAGGTTTCTAAGCCTCTATCCAATTTCTCGGGAACGACCTCGAGCGAGGTTGACCCAAGTGTAACAACCCATATTTTCTAATACGGTCATTCTGACAAAATGCGGAAGCGTAAACAACTAAACACTAAATTAACGGAAAGACTTCAATAAGATACTATGACAAAAGATAAGGACAGGTCCAACTTTGAAACAAAAAAATAACCTACATTATGATAAAGCCAAAGAATAACTACCAGAACTAACTAAGTTCTCATAAGCTAATAACAATGGAAAATACTAAAGATTTCAACTCCTCATGCCAGAACGCTATTCCTCAATCACTATCTGAGTAGTCACTTGAACCTTCATCTAAAAACATTTAGAAAACAGAAAAAAAATGAGTACAAAAATACTCAATAAGCAATTTCCATATCGAATTTAGAAATTTATTTTCCTTTCAAAACATTCGTAAACAAAAATACGAACAAATCAAAACTTTTAAAGTCCAATTTTCAAAACTTTCAAAGTAAACTAGATTTTAAAAAACAAAAGTTTTCAAATAAGGTAAAATTTCCAGTCAATCAAAACAAACTTTCATTCTTTCAAAACAAACTTTCATTCATTCAAAACAAACTTTCATTCGATCAAACTTCAAATCCTTCAAAATAAACTTTCTTTCAATCAAAATTTTCAAAGTTCATTCTAAAACACTTGGTACAACTTTCAAACTTTTGAATAACTAAATCATTCAAACATTAAAAACAATCTTACATTCATTCATACTTTCAAAATCAGAGTGGAATGTTGCATTATTTGGGTAGCCTACAGAACATATGTGGTTACCCGTCGGTAACACCAAATCAATCAGAAGTTTCTATCAGAGTTGTCGAATTAATATAGACCAGAACAGAGTTGTCGAAATAATATCGACCAGAACAGAGTTACTTAAGTATGAGGCCATGTGAGTGTGAATCTTCATTCCCAAGGAATTCCAAACCACAAAAGTGTCTTCCCACAAATAAGCCAGAAAAGAAATTCATCAATTCCAAATTAGGCTACTACCCCAAATAACCAAAACGTTCCTCAAAACAAAATCATGGCATATCCGGATAGCCCTATCAAATCAATCAAAATATCTTTCAAATAAAATGCAAAACAAATACTTACTTTCAATATTAAATTAATTCAAAACATTGAAATAATTTAAAATAAACTTTATCAATCTTCCAAAGCATGATTTCAAATATTTCACAAATAAACAAAATATCAATTTCAAACCTTTAAATAAATTTAAACAAAACTTTATAAAATCATTTAAGAATACTTCAAATACTTTGCAAATAAACATAATTTCAATTGTCAAATTAGTTTTCAAATCCATAATAAAACTTCAATTTCATATGCAAGATATCAATTTCAAATCTTCCTATCAAATCCAAAATACATTTTAGTTTTTTGAAATATGACAAATCACTTACAACACTTTTCGAAAGGATACGGTAAATCACTTATAATACTTTTTCGAAGGGATATGACAAATTACTTACAACACTTTTTGAAGGGATACGGTAAATTACTTATAATACTTTTTCGAAGGGATATGACAAATTACTTACTTCTTTCAAAAATCCTACGAATCTTCAACTTAGAGCCCTAGAAACAACCAATATCCAAAATCAATTCTTAAATCCTTTCCAAGGATTTAAAATTCAACCAATTACCAACCCAAATCTTATCTACCCAATTTTCCCATTCAAAACACTTTTTTATGCAAAATAATTAGGAAAGTATGATTTAGGGCTACAAAACCAGATTTGAAAACTAGGTTAAAAAGCCTCTAAAATCAACCATAACAACCTTTAAAAATACAAGAATCGATATATATCAATACGAACTATATTTACAAAAATTTTCTCAATAAAAAAAGCATAAAAACCTTCTAAACAATTGAAAATTTGGGGATTTTAAATTTGAAAAATTTTCTGTTTTATAAAATAAAACTTCCAAGAAATTTTCCATAAAACAATTAACAATTTACTAATTTTTATAGGAAAAATCAGATCTGAAAACCATATAGAAAACCTTTAAAACTTGGTAAAACCATATAATTTTTCATGTAAAAATCATAACAACAAACTATAATTTATAGGATACAAATAGGTAAACTTTTTATGCAAAAAGAGTCTCAATATAGCCCAAAAACAATCTCATAAACAAAAAGATTCAAACAAAAAATTCGAGAAAATTTTTAGGGCACAAGTCCTTAAAATCTTTTATTCTAAAAAAACAAAGACCTCAAAACTTTTAAAACAATGAGGAAGAAAATCTTACCGATCTTTGAGAGAAAATACCAAAACTCTTGTTCTTTTGTTTTCTTTTTCTCTTTGACAGAAAACTAGGTCTAACCGTTTAAGAAAATAAAACCTAGGGTTTAAAGGCTTTTATAACAAACCCTAATGAATCCTTATTTAAAAAAGATAATAAAAATATAAAGATTTAATAAAACTCTTTCTTTTTATTTTTTTCAAATTATAAGAACAAATTATCTTTTAAAAATAATTTTTAAAACAAAAATTTATATATATATATATATATTTTTAGAAAAAATAAAGAAAACCATTAAATAAAAATAATAATTTAAATATATATATATATATATATATATTTCTTTTTTCGGTTGTTACACCAAGGGAATTCAAATACACACAACCTCGCACGACATTTGTGCTCTCTGTTATTTTTCTCACGTTCGACCTCGGGCGAGGTCGAGCCCGAGGTATTCGGAAGAGGCTGAACCTCGAGGTTGAGCCTCGAGGCTCGGCCTCTTCAAATACCTCGGGCTCAATCTTGTGGTTAACCTCGAGGTTGAGCCCGAGGTTGAACATATTTCGAATACCTCGGGCTTAAACTTCCTAAATCCTAAACCACGTTCGAGGTTACTCCCACTTCGCCCGAGTTCAGTCTTCTTCAACCTCCCATCACCTCAACCTCCGACATTTCAACAAACATTACACCACCACCACAACACAGAAGAACCACAAAGAGCAAAAAATCAAGAACAAATAAACAAAGTAGATTTCCTTTCCCAAAAATGAAATCCAAGTCGATGGAAAACTAAATT